GCGATGAGCTTCCGTAGCTCCGACGCGAGAGTGGAAGTGGAAGAGAATGCAGTGACGGAGATGGATCTGCGTTGGCGTGAATTTCTCAGAGGCCATGAGAGATGATGGGATGAGTGAGATACAACAGACTGTCCTTATATACCCATACCTACCACCCACTCGCCAGGAATTGTCAAAGCCTGGAAGTCTTATTAGAACATGTTACATTCAACACCGACAGGACTTTTGCAACAACCTAATAGAATGGAATTGTGAGACTATTTTTGCAATAAATTCTTTTCTATTTGAGATAAAAGCTTCATTATGGTGAAATTTTAATTGTGAAACTCCCGTCTTTAGATTGTTCTAAGACATTGTTCTTCAAAGCTAAAACAAGAACTTCCATTTAATCAAACTTAATGACACCATAACAAAGCTTTTATCTCAAATAGAAAAGAAGTTATTGTCTCACAATTCCAGTCTACATAGGAGCCAGGAGCCAAAAATAGGTGACACTCAAATGCATAAATCTCGAGATCGGAGAGAAATAAAAAAAATTTGTGGAACTTATTTTCTTATAATCAATTCCTCTACATGCATAGCAATTTTTGTCAAAATCAAAAATAGTTGAGCTCATCCTCTGGTCAATTTGGTGTGGGGTGACCCAAGAGTCAATAAATTTTATTATAATTATGACTCTTTTTCGGTTGTTTCTTCCAAAGTATCTTTCGCCCCACACTAATATTATACCAAACTGCTCAGGAGGAGGAGACATACCGATTGATACCATATACAGCACAAGCAAAAAATGTAGGTGACTTTTGAATCACCCTGTATATTGGCAAAAAGGCATGGAAGGAATTCACAACCAGTAGACTCCTCACCAGAAAGGTATAGAGTATGAGTAGTCTTCCCAGCTTGGACACGATCAGACCTCTCTGAAGGGTGCAGAGAAAGGAATTTCACTATTTTTGTCACTGCCTCCTCCAAGGACTTGTAAGGTAATTCAAATGTTTCTGTAACTTGATTCTCTTCTCCAAGTCCATCCCATGCTGATTGGAAATCTCCTTCGATGACCTTCACTAAGAAATCTCCAGTAGCAACCTCTACCTCTTCCAACTGCAAATAAAACCAGAAATATTCTAGGAACCTGAGAGGAAAAAGGAAGTAGACTTCTGGGTCATTTCTCACAATGTATTCATCATCATATCCATAATCAGAGTCAGGCAATCCAGTGTTGGGATCACAGTCCTTCACAACAAACTTCATGGTGGCCTCAAAAGTTCCTGAAACATAGAGAAAACATATGCCATGTCTGACTTAAATATGCATGCATATTTAAGTTAGCACCTGTTATAATTTCTCTCACCTTCCATGGCCAACTGAGGGTCATCTGGGAGACGGATGCATGAGTACACATTCCCAGGGGTGTTATATTCTAGACGAGGGCAGGGGATCTCACTGACAAGTTCAAAACCAGCTGGAATCTCCAGACTGATACGCACATTCTCCAGTAGTTGATCTGGAAGCGTGTTCCGGCATTCAAACTGCATGACAAAATGCAGAGTTCAACAAACAACTCAAAGCATATCACAAACTACACTTGGAAAATACAAGCACAGGTTCTTTAAAAGTTGCTGGAAACATGCACAATTGCTGCTTTCGTAATGCAGTGCTCAATTGGTGTATAGCTCGCTGGAGTTTACAGTATTTTTCAGTGAGTCCTGTAATTATCATCCACTGGTGGGGCACAAACAATAAAACAATAAAATGTTTTAAATGTATTTCAAAATGGTTTATACAAGCTGCATAATGCTTTCTATTATTCTTCACTCTCAGAGAATTAGAGAACAGGATTACTCAGAATGAAGTCAATCAGGAAACCTCAGCAATCCTTCATGTTGAAATCCCTGTAGATCAGTCACACAGGATGGTCAATGAAATGGTATATATTTTTCTTGTATTGAAGATTGGTCAACAAGAAGATCCTTTCATTTAACCCTTTGATTAGTAAGCCCATAATTATATATTTTCAAAAATTTAACAAAATCTCAGTTTCATGTTTTGTGTAAATTACCTTTTTTGAGTTCTCTGCCTTTTTTTCCTTTCATGTACTACAACAGACTATTATCTAACAAATTATGAACAAAAACATGGAATAAATTTATCATTGAATGACCCCTGAATTTTTTTTTCTTGAAACATCCTTGGAGTGCAAAGAAAACTCATCACTCAAAGGGTTAATGAATGTGTGGCATTGTGTGGAAAAATGCCCAAGAACTAGAGATAGAATGAGAGAGTTTCATGCTTTGGGAATACACTTGTGCATCACAAGCTTCAACTAGTAATTGCATTGCTGGATTTTCTTACATAGGCTGCTTGCAGTGAATCAGAATCTGGCTAATGTAAACTTTGTCTTGCCATGCCTTGCTTCTAAGGTCATGGATCTTCATGAAATTTTCAACAATGGAGAGCTTAATCTCTTTTCACTTCGAATCCAACAAAAAATGTTATTCATAATGCAATGCAAGAAAAATCAATTCTTGCAGCATCAACTATTTCTGAGACACCCTGTACTATTTTACGGTCATGGCTGGTATCAGTATATCTGAAAGAGCATTGTTTGAAATAAATTTTAAAATTTTGCCAAGCTGGGTGATGTCAGTTGAGTAACATCAGGCCTATTTACCGTATTTACTGCAGTATTATGCGCCACTGTGTATAAGACACACTTTAAGACGCACCCCCACTTTTGATGTCCCATTTTGTGTAAAAAAAGATTCCTCATGTATAATGCGCAACCCCATATTTCGTAGCACAAGTCCTCAGGGACAAGGGGGATGGGAAAGGGAAAAACTAGTCATCAGGTCAGTCAAGCCTGGTTTCCCTTTCACCGTCCTGACCTTGCATGACAGGGACACATTTCAGTCTCATCGTATCAGTCTCTCCAACACATTTCATTATCCGTGAAAATGGGGAATGAACAGCAAAGTTACACCACTGGTGAAAAACTCAAAGTGATTCAGGAAGCGAAAGAGTTTCACATCTGCCCAATAGGTTGAAAGTACAACATCAGGGAAAGCTGCATACAGAAGTGGATCAAGGAGGAGATGAAATTGAGAGGGGCATGAAAGATTCTCATGGCCTTCCATGGGAAAAAGGGATCGTTTCCAGTGAAGTGGCAAAATAACATAGCCATTCCCACAGTTTGCATGTTATTTTTCTACTTTTTTTTTATAATTAGTTTTCTTCTAATTTCACTGTTATGACTGACTGCAGATACTGTTTCCATCTCAATAGATGACCTATAGAAGTTATAGGTATGTTGAAAAAATGTGTTTTCAAAATATTTTTTTTTACCTGAGTATAAGATGCACTCCCTCATCAACCATAGGAAAATATGTATTAAAAAAATAAAGAAGCACCTTACACATGAGTAAATACAGTATCAACTGCTTATCATGGTGCCATGGTACCATGATGTTCTCACATGTGGAGAACAGCTTCAAATGGTAGCCATCTGTTGAAGAGCACAGGAAGGTGGTGTCCTTCAAAGGAATTACAGGAGTTTCTCAGCCTCCAAGGAGATTCCATGCCTCTTTTTGCCATTCTTTGCATTAATTTTTTTTTTTCTTTTGAACAAAAGCTGGGATCCTGCAGGGAACACTCTACTGTATTTGCATTTGCAATTTTAGAATGGAAAGACAGCAGCAGGCCCAAAATGACTTTCTCACCACTGCCTTTGGTGATGGTTGCTTCAGCTCTTACATGATCCTTTCATTCTTAAATTGTGAGTGTGAATGCATGATAGTGTTCTCAGCTGGAACTGGATTCAGCAAACATTACCTTGCAACAGATAACCATCCTTTCAAAGCCATTCTCCCATGGGTTCACTTTCCCATCAACACTTCACAGGCACACAGATTAAATAAATGCTTATTTTTTTCAATCATTCATGTGGTAAAACAACTTCAGAGAAACAAGCAAGAATTTTAGGATGTTCATAGAGTACAAGGAAGAAGTAGTAGGAGAGGGAGAAGTAATTTCCAAGTAAAACTTTCTTGCACTACCTGCTGTCCCATAAATACCATAGAATTCAAAGAGCAGCACTTTCTTTTTTGTCTCAGCACATCACATGATGAGCCAAGTTTCCCTTGTAGGAAGGATACATAAAATTAGGGGTCATTTGATCAGATGTGGTTAGTTCATATTATTGGACAATATTGTTCAGTTCCCAGAATTCTGGATTTAAGAGAGTTTAATGTATGAAGAAAATCTCATTTAAAAGAAATTTCTATATTAGAAAAATACCACAGCAAGGAAACTAATTGCATGAGAAATAAAATGGCTTCAAACATATATTTTAAAATAAATACTCTATTACAGAAGAATCTCTAATTAAATATCCCAGCCTGAATCATCAATCACGAGTGATTGGAAAACTGATGACACCCTATCTTAGACACACCCTCATTTATGACAGATTCAATGCAGAATTGCATCTCTGGTGCTTGAATAATATTCAAATCCCAAACCATATGTTTTTGGTCCATTTATATTCATGCTTAATCTAAGATTTTGTCAAAGGTAAAATACTGCTGAGAGGTTTCAAATTACTATTGAGAGGTTTTGAGAGAAGAATGCTAAGAGAACCAAATGATTCCAATTCCAAGATCAAGCACTGAAGAATCAAACTAAGATTTTAATCTGGTTTGATCATTCTAAGAAAACAGAGGTAAATCACAATCTGATCAATTCATTCTTAGAACTACTCTACAGGAACTTAAAATTTTAATTTTAATTGGGATTCAGATAGATCTTAACCCTTTCCCTGACAGGGATATCCAAACACTTCGAGAATGTCAACAATACATTACATTGATGCCAAGAAAAGGGTTAATCAAATCTTGATTTGGCATTCACCTTTCACCTACTGACTACTTCGCATAAGATGAATTCACCTGGAGAACAACATGTTGGGGGAAGACATGCTTGATACATTGGACAACATATTCTGTCTCAGATTCTGTGAGGTCTGTTGGCATGGAGCTTTTGAAAAGTTGACCAAGTGGAAGGGCAGCCAGTGCAGGAATGTTCAAGAGCTGCTGGGCCAGGGTTTCCTGTCTTGTCTTGGTCACTGCACTTGGCTTCTTTTCTGTCATCAGCATCCCTTCTCTGGGTTCCCCTTCTCCTTCCTGCTCCAAGGAGAAATTCTCAAATCCTCAATTTCATCATGTTCCCAAGTATATCTTGGACACACTGAAATCCTTCAGACAAATTCATTTTATTCAACCCCTCAACACAATAACCATACTGCCTCAATCCAAGTCAGAATGAGAGACCACCCTTAGCTATTCTATTATCATGATGGGTGAATCAGGCTAAACTGGAGTAATTGCATGTCTTCAAACTTTTAAGTTGCATAAGCCATAATTTTGGGAGTAATGAACCGATCTTGACAACATTTGAAACATCAATAAGTCATGTCAGAGTGCATTCTTTTAACATATATTGGCAGTGGTTGAAGCATTTTTCTGGGGTACACAGCAGAGAAAATTGAATTTGTCTCACCTGTAACATGTCTTTGCCTTAATACACTCGGAACATTTCTCTGCCAAACAAATACTTGTCCGATTTTTTTCAAACACATGGCACAACAGTACAAATATTATAATAATTTTCAGAATGTACTCCAACAGCGATTAGAGACAGTCTCTTTCTAGCTTTGCTGAGGATTATAGGTGTCTTCAGAATTGGCCCTTATTTCTGCCCCACCCATGACAGTGTCATCAATAGATGATTTGAAAATGGTGAGCTCATCTTTGTCACCTAAAGATGTCATGATCCCTACAGGAATTGCAGATAATTGAAACCATCATAGTTCTCCAATAATTTTGGAAATTATCTGTTTTTTGCTTTTACCCATAAATGTCAAGCAAAACTGTTCCACCTGTAATGCTTGTCTTGCATGCTTACCATGTTAGGTACAGGACTTCAATGTCCCATGCTGATGTGCACTGTTGGCCCATGATAGGAGACAGGGTGAAGCATTTGTAGAAGCTTGTGAATGTGAAAGGCAACTTTTCAAACTGAAATTGTCCTACTCACAACACTGTCCCACTTGTAACGTCTTCTGTTAACTCTTTGACAACTGAATTTAATACTGTCATGAATTTCAATTTAAATATATGCTGGCTGGTATTGTGGATAATAGCCAAAATTTAAAAATGTTGTATACTAGGTCAAACTGTGCCAGAGATATCATTTGTCAAAAATTGTGACAAAATGGCTGAAATGATGCATACTACAAACTTTGCAACACTGTACTTGAGTATTAAACAACCTTCAGTAAGAAGTCAAATCTAAGCTCTGAAAAAGAGATTTTCAATTATATGTAACATGTATGTCATGAGAATGGCCAGGAGGGAAGATTGGATGGAGGAGAGGACAAAAGAAAGCCAGGGGATGGCAGGGAATTGAACCTGGGCCTCCTGGTTGCCGGTCAGGTGTGCTTCCATTACACCACTGAACTTGGGACATTCATTTGTGCCTCTCACTGACATCCTTATGTACATGATAATGCAATATTAAAAAATTAATCCAATTTTAAACATTTCTAATGTCCAATGGTCCAACTATAACTTTTTCTTACAGGTGTGACAAAAGTATCATGTGAATGCTGTGAAGGATAACTTGAAATCTTGAGTTTCATCCCTTTGGGTGGTTACTAGGATACATACCAACATGTATGACAATTAAAAATCAAAACAAGGCTGGTATAACAAGTCTGCGGCAAAATGGCTACATCATCAATATAGCCACTGAGACCCCAGATACACACTCAGAAGGTAATTCCACAAAAACTGTGACACAAATCTCAAATTTTTACATACTGTATTTCATGCCAATCAAGGATGGGCAATGTTATAATTGATATCACCACACTGCACACAAGCTGTACCAAGTGCAATTCCACAAAATGGAATTTATCCAAAAACTTTATATGCTTAGTATTACTTGGCTGCTCAACTACTTGTAACTTGAGTCCCAGTAGCATGAGTCATGGCCAACTTTTTTCATTATTATTCTTTCAGAAGAATCTGCAGTTTAGACATCATATGACACACCCTTCATCTTTGCCCTAAACCAACAATTATGGTTTAGGGCACTACCATGTTTGGGGCAAAGTGATGTGATGGTTTAGAGTTTCTTCAAGTAAAGCAGATATATGCTTTGAAATTTGGCTCCTGGAGATTGTGTCCTAAAAACTTTACATGAGTGACAAAAATACCAATTCATTTTGCAGGACTCCAAATTGCAGTAATGAAATGAAATCATTGTAATCATCAAAGGATCAATGCTTACTATCTTACTATCATATTTACTGCAGTAATTCTGTTGCAAATATTGGAAGGGATAGTTGTAATTAAATGCCCAAAAGTTTTCCAAAAATGTAACATGATCATGATGGAAAGAAAAGCTGCACAGTTTTTTAAATTGAATTTTCAACATTTTTGATAGCATTATCATAGATTTGCAGCAATGGTTTGCATCTTAACTCTGGTTGAAAGGCAAATTTTAAGATTTTTTTGCAAAAGTTCAGTGCAATAAAAATTTGGAATACTACATGATATGGCAATTGCCAGGAAAAACTAATTCCATTAGTATAAATTGGATTTAAATTTGTTTTCAAATTGCTGAGAAAATTTTAAAAGAAAGCAAAGTCAAGACAGAAATACACACTTGTTTGGCAATCATGTGGTCATGTAGTATCAATTCAGATATCAGGAAATATCAATGTAAACAAAATGCAATCAACATTTTCAACTAAAATCATTGAAACATAAAGATTGCATTACCATTTTTATTTGTAATTTGTGTCAGAAGTCCATAATAATTTTGAAAATCATCTCAATTCTAAGAAAATTTAACTTCTCTATATAAAAAATGTCAAATTTGAAATAATAAAATTTCATGAAGTATAACCAACAAATTTGTCCCACCCATAACACTTACAGGACAGTATTTGAAAACCCTTTTTTTAGGAATTGCTCCAGTTTGGCTTGACTAACTCAGACATTCCTGTTTTTCTTTTCATCTGTTTTTTTTTCCCACTCTCCCCTTTTGTCAGTAGTCTGCTCAGGTTAATGCATGTAAACCTGGGGATCTCGTGAGAAAAGCAAATTTAAGCCATGAAAGTCTTGAGCAACAGCAGCTCCTTCCAACCGTATGTATAGCTGAGCAAGTGAATGCCTAAATAATAAAAAAGAGGAGGAATGACTCACAATGGGAGAAACAGGAGATATAATAGGTATTGTCTTGAGAGAGAATGGAACTTCACCAGGCTCACCCATATACTGGCACAGGCTCCTTTCCAATGATGAAACAGACAACTGGAACAAAGTCCAACAACAACATTCACCATTCAAAGAACCCTTATGGCAAGGAAGTCTACTGGGAAAAAACCATCTGTTCCATATACAGGATGACAAATAATGGATGCTCCCAAAATAAAAATTTATTTCTCGAATTCTACAATAGTTAGGAAGAAAATTCAAATGGTATTGTGAACTTAAACTTAGGGAGATTATGTCATGACATGCTCGATTTCAATCTGGATGGCTTCCTTGAGCTCCTCGATGGTTTTCGGATTGTTTACGTAGACTTTATCTTTAAGGCAACCCCACAAGAAGTAATCGCAAGGGTTGAGGTCTGGGGAATAAGGAGGCCAGTCGATTCCCTTTCCTGATCCTTTGTTGTAATCCAGGGCAATAACCCGATCATCAAAATGCTCCTCGAGGAACTCAAACACCTCGCGCGTGCGATGAGGTCTCGCACCGTCCTGCATAAACCAACTTTCTTGCACAAGCCCCAATCCCTGTACAACTGGAATGAAATTCTGCGACAGACACTCGAGATATCGCGCAGAAGTGACGTTGCCATCGATAAAAAGAGCACCAATGATTCCACTTCCGGAAATGGCACACCAGATAATATTGTTGCACCATGAAAACTCGTTGTGCGATGCTGTAGGTTGCCATTTCCTCAAAAAACGTCAACAATGGACAAAAGCCTAATACTGTATGCTGGTGCTAAAAATTTTCCTGCATTTACGGAGTTTCCCTAAAAAATTTGAAGTTCATACACCCATATTCAACAAAGATATTAGTGATTCTTATGGGAGCGTCCATTATTGGTCACCCTGTAAGGTGAATACAATTTTTTCACAGACTGCTATGTACAATCTTTAAAAAAAATGAATTTAAAAAATGTGCTATTAATTACAACTAATAAAATCAACATTTAACCCTTTCACTGCTGTGGTCAAGTATACTCAGTGGTGCCCTGACAGACCTACAGTGCATCCATTGAGTATACTCAACCAGCACCTAGGTCCAAGCAATGTGACTCTTGACAGGCTCCAAGGAAATGGGACATTGTTGCTGCAGCTTTAGGCTGCAGCCTGCTCCTTGTGCTAAAAATGTTTTGCATGAACTTTGAAAAAAAAAAAAATTTTGGTGATAAGATTTGATTTAAGATTTTGTTACACTCTTATGAATTCTAAAACAAGCAACAGTGCACCATGAAAAATACTCAACACTGGCAAGGGTGCAACACTTTTAAAGTGCAGCAACAAAAGGGTTAAAGAAAGAGTCTACAAGATCCAACATTCATTATAGTTCACTTTCATCACTTGGTAATGATCATTCACAAAAGTAGTACCAAGCCTTGAAAAAAACAAGATGCGACTCTACAAGGGAAAAGCAAATGTTGTGTTGCTCTGAAGCTGAGTTATTCATAGAATTATTCAAATTTCTGTTGATAGAATACAATGCTGAAAGAGGGGTTGACATGTTTTCTGCAATAGTCCAATGAATACTCTTCCATAAGATGCTGGGTCCATATGCCAGGAAGATTATAAGGCAACTCAAAGGTCTAAAGCTCACCTGAAATTCATTAAGGATGAAGTGAGAAGAGAGGCTGCGGTCCTGGTTCTCAAGAATGCATCGATAGTAGGCAGCACGATCTCGCACCTCATCATCTGAATCCATCTCACATCGGCAAAGGAGGACAAGGATATTGGTAGTCAACTCATCAACAAGTGCACCAAAACGGGCCAAAGCCGAAACAGCAGCTGCACGCACACATGCATTCTCCAGAATCACACGATTGTAGATGAACCTTATGTACCTAAAAAGCATATTGGACAATACAAAGCAGTATTAAAACAGGACTATTTGGGGAAAGGTAAAGAATAAAAAATACACCAACCTAGAAGGCTTATTGGTACGAGGACCTTCCTTTCCGAGCAAGTGGAGGATCCGCACAGCCAAAGCAGTATGTTCGCAGTCTTCTATGAACTCACACAAATGTGCCAAGCCTGTTATTGTGCAAAAAATAGTAATGTTATTTTCAACTTCATTCTAGTCTGGCAAAAAAAAAATCAAATGATGTTTAACCATAATATCTCTACTCAAGCAAGAGTATTCAAGCAAAACTCTCACTGTACATATATGAGTATGTTTCCAACTGATATTCAAAATTCCATCTGAATTTGTTGGGCCAAAGCAACACTATCAGCAATAATTTAAAATAAGTTGAATATTGAGAAAGGACAAAAGCTCTTGCTGGTAGTGGAGTGGAGGGCTGTTGAGCACTCTCCTTCCTGGTCATCAAGACAATGGCTGACATGCACCACATTGGTTTAGGAGCTAAACTGACCTGATTCCAGGCAAATATGTTTAAGAATGAGTTGAAATCGTTAAATTGACTTGTGACATGCACCAAATTGCAATCAGTTTCTTTCTCTCTTAAACTAATCTTCAAAAATAAACTTGTTCCGTAGCAGGTTTAACTCCCTAAATGGATTCCCAGAGGTAGTTCAGCAAGCAGTATGCTAGAGTGGGCCTCATTTTTCTTGCCTCTCATCATCTAATAACAGTGGAAATGAAAACTAATGAAGAGATAGAAGTTTTTGATGTGATCCTGACCCAAACTGCCAGGAGAACTATCAAGAGTTCAGGTCAATCCTCTTGAATGGTTCAATGGAAACAAATTCCAAACAAGATTTTGTCTTTCAAAGGACACTGTCATCAACTTGGTGCGGATAATAGAGCAGCAGCTGGCACATAATACTGATCATTCTCTTTCCAAGTGCAACCACACCATCTTAAAATGTGTTTAAATTGTGGATAAACATGTTCATGGAAACTAATCTGATTTTGGGTGGTGCATGTCAAAGATAAACACATTCCTAAACATGTTCATCTCGTTTTTTAAACTAATCCAATTCCTCAATTGGTGCAGGTCACCCATGTCGAACTCCTCTTCCACTTAAATTCATTCTTTGGGCTGGATGTCTCTTGCAGATGGTTTTGAGGATTTTTCCTGATGAAAAGCAGATGATTCAATGAATATCAATCCAGAATTTCCTCCAAGTTCATTCAGAATTAATACCCATTGGAAAATGGATGTAAGTTTTTATCAAACACCTCTGGTCCAAATGGTTATGTGAAGTAAAATGCATAATGCCACATGTTGCATTGCTTTTTAACATAGATACTAAAGAAACCAGCAGTTTTTCACCTGTTTCTTTGGCTTCAGGGTTCTCCTCAATGATGGTGATCAGGGTGTCAGCAATGGCAGCTTTGTAATCTAGTCCACCTTCCTCACGAAGCAATGATGATAGAAAGGTCATAAGAACTCCATGCTTGCGAGGGAACTTCACACACAGAGCACGAATTGCCTGAAAAGTCATCAAACCAAAATGGATATTTAACTTTGAAATTGGAAAGCACTGCTCAAACCTGAGCCCTACTAATCTGCCATCTCATAAGAGAGGAGAATTCTTCAGAGAGGAATTTCAAGAGGAATAGATTTACACCTTAATGTGGTTCAGTCCAATCTGCAAATGAGCATTCATTTCCATTATTGGCAATTAACTGCCCATCCCATGGCTTCAATCAAAGGGCAGACATAGAGTGGCACAGTAATTTTACTGCCTTTAAATCATTGGGTTTCATTAATTATTAAAGAAGACAATTTTCAAAAGAGGAAGAAAGGCTCATTTTCCTTAAAGTTGCTGCAACCACCAAGGAACTGTGCTTGCTGGAAAAGCAGAGCCTTGAAAAACTTATTCAAACTGCTCTTCAATGATGGAAGAATTACCACCTGTACGGGTTAAAAAAATTTTAATGAAACCTTTTGCTCCTCTTTTGAAAAATGAGCCAAATACTTAATCAGTTGATCAACCAGTTCTAATTTAAATGTTTGAAAAAAATTAAAGGCAAAAGAGACAAAGCTGAAACTTTACACATTCAGAGAAGGCCAAAAGAAATTTAAGTATTCACCATTACAATCCTACTGCTAGAATGATGAAGAAGCTATGCTACAATGATCTTGAGTAAGCCTCACTAAAAGTCATTTTTCGTTGCATGAAATTTTTGGATTAGGTTCTCATTAGTAAGGCTGTCACAACTGAAATTTTGAGAACAATGTTGCATAAACCATCAAAGATGATTAGCAAATAGGAAACTGTGTCAGATGAGGACACAAAGCCTGATATAGAACCATGCATGATCCACTGTTTATTATGTGCTGTGCTGCTGTCAGGAATGGGATGGAAACCCATCTAGTGCAAGTAGATAGAGAGGAAAAAAAAAAAAAAACCCGAAAAAAAAAACCAACCTTCTATAGTGTGGCTACATCAATTTCTTTGCTAGGCTCTTCCCCCTCATATTCTGGGCTTTGTATGGTCTCATTACCATCAATGCCCCCATACATTTTCATGAATCCACAACTTATTGTTTGACACAAGTTATTCTCAGCCAAGTTCTTACCAACAGAGCTATCTGTTGCTTTGCTTTGGAGCTTTGGAAACCTTTCTGGAGATGTGGGTCAGTGACCAGGCCATTGTGGACAACTTATTGATGTCTGATGAGGCACACTTCCTCTTGTCAGGTTTTGTCAAACAGAGCTACCACTTTTGGGGAGATCGTAATCCTATGGAACTGCACAAGATGCCACTTCACAGTCTGAAACTAGCAGTGTGGTATGGAGTGACCAGCACCAGCATCATCAGCCCATTCTTCTTCAAAGATGCAGCAGGGGACACAAGCACTGTATCGGCACAGCACTACCTGGACATGTTGCGGAACTCTCTGGTACTGGAACTGTAGTGACATGAACGGCCTGTCATCTGGTATCAGCAGGATGGGGCCATGCCCCATACAGCACAAATTTCCATGGCCAAACTTCATGCCCTGTTTCTGGGGCATATAATATTTTGTTTCAGCAACATCCATTGGCCGTTGTATTCACCTGACCTAACTGCACCCGATTTCTTTCTTTGGGGGTACCTTAAAGGTAAAGGTGTACAAAACACAACCAACAACATTGAACGAGCTGGAGACACGTACCTGACAGGAGATTACTGCAATTCCTGTTGCCATGCTGGAGCGCACAATGCGCAGCAGTTTTGTTGTGCACTTTCATGAGTGTGTGGTCTAATGTGGTGCTCACTTGTCTGATGTGATTTTTCAAAAAGTAAAAAACACTTACAGACAAACTCACATTCTTTGTGTACCATTTGGGAAAAAAATTAACATTGTTAACTATGAATAAACCTGTATATCTCCTATGTAAAATCGTCATATTTTTATGGATCACCCTGTATATGAATGGCATGTCAATGTTAATTGTGACTCATGCAAAGACACTACTCACTGCAGTCATCAACCCAGGCCAATGAATCCAAATTCAGTAGACTTCAGGCTATGGAGGTATCTTAAGTCATGGGTGCCCCTTAGCAGTCTGATGCCATAAGCAGCAGTATAGGAAAAAAAAATATTTTTCCCATGAACCTTAGACAACAAATTGGAACTTCCCAGGAAAGATATGCAAGCGGACTAAACGGGCCGCCCGTCCACGCATCTCCGTTCCCACGAACCTCGTTCACAGGTTCACAAGGGTTTTCCTAGCTTGATAAGCAGAATTGAAGGATACCATTTATCTTGTACTGCCTATTTCTCATGAGATGTTGAAAGTCTGCTGATTTCCCAAGAAGTTGAAAGCCAAAGTCTGCAATGTCGAGCACTGGTTGGAAACAGTCATGGAGCTTATTGAGCATTTCTAACATGGAATACATGACATCATGCCAGCAGAGCCTCTATGGGGAAAATAGTTATTTTCTTAAAGCATTTTCCCTGTGTTGTACAGAGACTACTCCCAAATTTTAATTGAGATGTGGCATATACACTGTGATTCATAAAATCGGGACCCTGTAAATATTTTATTATAACTCATATTTATTAGTCCATTTACATGAAATTTTAAATAGAACAAGCCCAATAATAAAGAAGCTATGTATTTCCAAAAATTGTTTGAAAATTAAAGTTCACTTTTAGTCTGATGATTATGATTAATGTCATTATAAATCTGTTGTAGCATACCCTGATAAAAGGTATTCAGTGAAGAAGACAAGCATGTTATCAAATGCTTAAGACTGAGTAAACATTATGGAGCAAAGAGATTACTAGAAGAGCAGTGACTATCATTAAGATTATTTTTTTTTAACTAAAATCATTCATAATTTCATGTAAATGGATTAATAAATATAAGAGTTCTAATAAAATGTTTAGGGGGTCCTGATATTATGAATCACAGTGTAGTTTAGCTTTAGAAAGTCATCCACTCACCAATTGACTTTGTAATTACCTGGTACAGAGAATTTTATTAATTTTCTAGGCACATTATAATTCATGGGAATTAAGAATACACCCAGCTACCCTTTTCATGACAGGGATAGGCATGGTTTTGTTATTGAATACCCCCTCAAGTACCAGTTTTCTATTCCTCATTCTTGTTTTTTTCCCTAACTTATTGCCTACTAGGCATAATAGAAAAATTTAAACTTACGAAAGAAAACTGTTGGAATTGCTATTTATGTATGTTACATGAGGGTCAGTCAATAGTAACAAATTTACATGGTGTCTAATGCCATGTACAGAGATAGAACCTTGAATGTGGCCATCTGCTGCTTGTCTGGCAAGACATGAGCAAGTTTGCATCATGAAAAAAGTTGCCTGTTTCACATGATGAAACAGGCAACTTTTTCTCATAGTTCAGTGCACACCATGGTGTATGATTGTTTGCAGTTTCATAAGGTTGCTGCAAGATGGTTCCCCATGGAACTGATGCCTGACCAGAAGATGTTACATATGGTCATGTTGTTGGACAACCTCCTACATTACAAGCAACAAGGGGAAGGCATGCTCACCTATCATGCTCACCAGGATCATATGAGAGATAAGACCTGGGTATCCCATTATCAACCATAATCAAAGCAGTTGTTGATGCATTGGAAGCACCAAGGTTATGCCACTCCCAAAACAAACATGTCAAAAAATAAATGGGCCATAGAACAAATAGGGTATGTTTTACATCCCACTTTGTAACTTACTATAATACTCTAAATGCCAAGACCATTCCTTATCCTGCAAAAAGGGCTAAGTGCTGCCAATTTAGAAATATCCAAATTCCAATGCATTGTGAGGATAGCTCAATTACCATTGTGTAAATTGTGCAGAGGCTGAAACACTGTCCATGAGACAGAGAATTTAATCTAAAAATCTAAAAAATTCAGGAATGTGTTACTCAGCTATTTCCATTAACTGGAAAACTGGTAATCATTCACCAGCTCCAGTTAATCTTATTTTCCATCACACTCTCTGATTGAATTTTGATTGAACCACCAGAATAAGGAGGCCACTTCAAATGAGGTTGCAGAAAGTCAATTTCACTTGAAATTATGAGAATAGGAGTAGTTGGCTCACCTGAACAACAACCACCTTGAATTCATCAGAAATTTCTGAGACAAATGATGCTATTTGCTTCATTAGTCTATCAATAGAAGACTCTGCCCCAGTCTTGAGGAGAGTAGTGATTGCAAGGGTGGCCACCGATCGGTTGCTGTCTGATATCAAGTTCTCCAAATCCAAGTTGCATGCAGTGACAGCTGTAGGCTGCCTCATTGCCACCTGTACACATAGGATTGAGTTTGGCAAGAATCTCTCAAGTTAAGGGTCTCAGAAAAGGTCTCATAAAGGGTGTTTTCCCATAAAATGACGAAAAATAATTCAATGATGATGAATGAGTCTACCATACCTTTACTCTCAGCCCTGGCCATAACATTTGGAAGAATAAGAATCATAGAGATTTAAAATAATTAAAGTAATTTCCTCAACAATAATTGCACATTCAGTTAATCATTATCAGGCTTCAAAGTAGAGAAGAAACACACAGGAGGGGCATGATCCTGCAGAATGTCTCTTGTGCAAGTTCATCCTGAATGCTTCCAAATGTATAGCTATTTCAAGAGTACTACTAAGCCTATCTGAACCTACTGTTCAAAAAGAACTTTGAAAAAAAAAAAAGAATAACAAAGGAAGTGGAAGGTTTAATTCCAATGCTGACTAATGCAGCTAAAAAATGCATTCAAGAGAATATGGAATTTTATAAGTGTGTAAAACTTTTTAATTTGGAGTTTAAAATAATGTAAAGTTTAGGTATACTTAATGTATTTAGTAAATATTTGGAGCCTAGAGGAATTTCTAACCAAAAATTTATGATAAGAGTAAATTTGACAAATTTTGTTCTCTGAATCAATTCTTGCTTCTTATACACCACTGAAATGTAACTATAAGGAAACAAACAACTAAATGCAGAACTAAAATTAACATCACTTGTCTTTCATGAAGGCAGACATTCATTCAATCATACCCACATAGCTGACAGAGAGATGAGCAGTATTTCAAGGAATCCTGGAGTAAATTCTCATACTAAACCTTTTTATAAAAATTAATTGGATAGTATGAATGAGTAGAAGACAGATGGCAGTTAAAAAGAAGCCCCTCCTCTAGCAAGGGATATGGCACAGCAGTACAGATTATTATTAAACTGGGAAAGTTCAAAAACATCCGGTGCAAGTCACCTCCTATAACAAACTAGCTTAGCCTGAACAGTGAGCATGCAAAGAACCAACCACACCTTGTTGAGAGTTCTGACAGCAGCAAATCGGAGAGTTGCCTTGGGGCTGGAACAGAAAAGCTGCAAGACTGATACTGCAGGTGACAATTCACGAGCTCCAGTCCGCTTGAGGTTCACAATTGCATGTGCTGCTTCATAAATGACCATCTCAGATTTGTGACGCAGGCATGATTCCAGAAAATCTTGGTAGGTGGAATCATTGTCTGGATCATCCTCCATAAGACGACAGGCTATGCGAATCAGCATACAAGTTGCAAATGGAGATCGTACTGCCAATGATGTGTACTTGGACACAAGCTTAATGACTGCCAGGCGATCTGTCTTCCTCACAGCATAAAGAAGTCCAATAGCATGATACTGGACAAGCATGCTATAAATAGGGAATAAAAGAAAAACTCAAAACATATTCAAGTTGGTTGGATGAGAATGGCACATGTAACATACTTGTCAGAATTGGCAGCTTCTTGGGCTTCATTGACCCAACGGCGAATGATTTCCCCGGAAGATGCCATGAGATGAAGAGAACTTACAAGTCCTGCTGAACTTACACTTGGACTTTTGTCTACAATAGCCTGCTTCATGTATCGCTCTATACTCTGAAGCATGGAGCTCTGTTTTTTTAAAGCAAAATGAAGAAGAAGCATATAGAACTAATACAATGATCCAACCATATGTCCAAATGAATGTGTTTCTGACTCACATCTGTAATGCTACACAAGGCTCTGATGGCAGCTGCTCGATACAAATCTTCCTTTCCAGTCATATCCTTCGTAAGGCTTGATGTGACAATAATCACATCTTCTGCCACAGTTGAAAGCTCTTTGATGCCTTTGGGAAGAGAGAAGGGCATAAAGGTAATGACATGAGTGAGCAAGGATAGCAATCAAGAGAAATTACTGTCAAAGGACAATAGGCTCACCAAGATACACCATCCGACGCAGGACAATATCTTTGGACTGGAAAAGCTTGGTCATGGCAAAGAATGTGTCTGTAGCCTCACGAGTCCCCAGTTCCTCTCCCTTTGATGGAGAATTGACGTGATTGAGGCAGGGGATATGCATAATTCCTTCAACATTTAACAAGACAACTCAAATAAGAAAATAAGATTCTTACCTGCATGAGCAAATATAGAATTTTTGTGAGGATCTGTGTGCATTTTCTAGGATTCACTGGAGTCTCATTAAAAAGACGAGCCTCTTGAAGAACAGTCGTTTTGTCCAAGCTTGAAAACAGGCCCCCTCCACCTCCTATATATCCATCATTATAATTCCCCATGTAGTAAACACAAAAACCACAGTACAAGGGATATACAGTTTAATTCATGCAATCTCCACCACCACAGTCTGATAAAATTCTATGTCCTTCTGTCTTATCACTTTATAAAAGGAGTCTTGCAATTCCCTCATGAGACAGCAACATATATAGAATCACCACCAGTCAATGAGACAGCAAATGAGTCAGCAGTTAAATCACCCTGGAAAAAGAACCTTCATACTATGCTTACAATACACCCTAGAGAGAGAAATTCTCCAAGTTGACTTAAAAATTGATGCAAGTCAGATTTAAATATTGACATGTTATAAATTTCAAAGGAAAAATCTCTTATATTATTGTGAAGGTGAGGGACAATACTAAATTGGCTATTTAAAAAAATTTAGATCCTAGCAGTGAGCTTCTTTGAAAGGAGATGTTTCCTCTAATTGCATACAATCTGAATAAATGCTGCTCATACCTTCCTCAATTAAGTTATCATTAAGAGTGACAAGGTCATATACATATAGGCCATCCAGGCATTAGAGAGTGGGCAGATCTTTGGACACCCACAAAGGGTGACAACTCTGGTCTCCAGGGCATGACAAATGACTTTGCAGAAGGCCTAACTCTGTCCCCCTCCCTCCCACCAGCAGTTGGGTATATCTCAAAGAGGAGTGCATCAGTGCTGCCAGAATTTTTTTCCAGGAAGCAAAGAAAAATATGACAGAGGGTGAAATACATCAAATCGTTTAAACTTAAAAATTGTACATAAAACAAACTTTTCTTAAATGTCTTCAGGCAGGATGTAATACAATGTACTACAAATTTTCCCACAGGCAAAAGAAGGCTATCACAGCTCAACAAGTCGACAACACTGGCACAAATCTGAGCTAGAAAACTCCCAAGGTAGGTCAACTCAGTTTGCCTGCCTGAGGACATGGATAATCCCAATCAGCTGCCTCATTTCTCTTCATTCTTATCATTTTCAAAAAGGACCATACAAATTGCTCTTAATGGCAGCATGGGTTTTCTCCAACTCACTCTCTAATGCTTGTATGGCCTACACCTATAAATTCATTTATTGGATTGAGAGTAAGGTGTATTCTTCATTTGTATTTGCCCAGAATAAAAAAGAAACAATTAATGCTGAAAAATTTTGTCACCTATGGATATGTAATTAATCGTAAAAATAATCTTCAGAAGCTGAGAAAAATTTCCTGGATGGATAGAACATTTTTACAGGGAGCACAACGTAAGGGGAGGAACTTTGAAAGAGATCTACAAGGTTCTAAGGGAAAAGATTCAATGGGATTGTTGTGCACAAAGTTGTAAAATTCCATGACTAAATCATGTCAGCTAATTCATAAAATAATAATGTTATTAACAGCTAAAGTAATAGCTTTGTTGCTTTTAATGATCCATGAGTCATGAGAATCTTTGCAGTCATGTTGAATCCTCTCCATAAGAAAGCCTGATTTCATTTAATTTGAAGGAAAGAACTTGAACAAAAGTGTTTGATGAACTGGTCATAAATCTAAATCTAATTGAATTTTTTAAATTCAATTTTGGCTTTGCCAACAAATCAGGAATTTTGGTTCAAGCTGAGTAAATGGGGATTACAAATTTTAAATGAGCAAGAATCACTTCCTTGATGACTTCCAGTGGAGTAAAATCAAATATTCAAAATCTCTACCCTTATGGACAGAGTTAAAATATTGAAAATCTAACGTAAGCAACACATGTTGGATATTCCACAAACAGTATTCAAGACTCTTCTGAAGGCAGCACAAGATATCCTAATCATTGTCACAACAATTGTAACAACTTCGCCTTCACCAGTAAATGTTTCTACAGTAACATTCTCAACCTTTTCAGTACTATGGTCACACGGGTATAGCCAGGCATGTATGGTCCCTGCATAAATCCTTTCTTTGCAACCATCACACTCTAAAGAACAAATAAAGGTGCAACTTTAATGATGACTCTTACCAGCAAGTACTGGATGTTTCAAGCCCAAACTAAGCATTGAGCATGCATACTCCCAAAAAAACTAGGGCTGTCGAGATAGCAGTTTTCAAAACATCAATGCATCGACCTGAACTATCGACAGCGTATCAATGCATCGGGGGGGGGGGGGGTTGGAGCGCAGACCTCTATCCATCTTCCATAATCTCATGCTTGTGATCAGGTTGCGTGGTGAGGTGTGACTTTTGCAGGCAGTAATAAAACCTACCATGCCTCCAACTATTGAAGATGAGATCCATTCATCAATGGATAAATCAGGACAGCTGTAATTTTTTAAAATTAAGCCTGTCTTCTTTGATGATCTTCCTTGGAAATCGGCACCAACAGATAGAAAACCTGCCATTTGTGCCATACCGGTGGTTGTCAAAACATCCGTACAGCCATAGAATAAGCAATGTCTACGTAAAAAATTCTCTTGGGTTCACCTTAAGTAAAGAGGTAAAATGCCCCACAGCAAGTTGAAAACAAATAAAAGAACTTAAGCCTGCATACTTCAGAGGCAGGAATATACAGGGTGGTCCAAAAACAAAGCAAAGTTATCATTTTTGGTGAGTCATCAATCTCTTTGAAGGCTACCAATTTTTATTGAAATTGATAGGCTTATAGGGTGACACAATTAGAGTTTGCATACCAAATTTCAGCCATTTGGCTTTGAAATAATAGTTGTAATTATTTTCTGATGACCAATAGCAAAATGTGCTGCCCAAAATATCAATGACTTTGAGGCCAGGATGAAAGGGAAGTAAGAATTCATTGATCTCCCATCCCTGCATGATGCTACAAAGGAAGATCGGGAGGCACTGCCTCAAAGGTTTATTGACCGAGCCATTCATCTGTGGAGTAGCAGACTAGAGGCTTGAGTTCAACAGAATGGAGGGCACATTAAGCACCTTTTCAGTTGAAATGTACGTCCCGAAACCAAATTGTGTGCCTTCATGTTTGGCATTTGTGCACCTGTTTTTGTTCTGTTTGCTTGTTTGTTTTGTCAATTGTGAGAATTTTTAAGCTGAAAGAAAAAATGAACACATTTTTTTGGTAATGAAAAGTAATTTAAATGCCAATCTCACAGTTTTTGGAATTTTTATTGGAAACTTGGCACACAAACCCTAATTGAATCACCCTATATATATACCAAATGTCATCAAAATTGGCAACATACAATCAGATTGACAATTTACCAAAAAATGATAGCTTTGTTTTTTTTTGGCCCACTGTAGAAAGGGTGATTAACCAATGAATTAGGTTGTTACAAAAGTTATGTTGGTTTTTTGTATGTGTTACTTGCAGTTCATTTTTTGCATGGTTGTGGTTGTGTATGTAGACAAGTTATATATTGTTTTGTAGCGCATGCTTCGATGTATATTATGTAAAACTTACCTTTTTGAACATCTAAAATGGGTGTCTGTTTAGGGTTCTGTGTGAAGCATGGATAAAAAGGTTTTTCATGCAATTTTGCTCCACAAGCTCAAACTGGGCCACAAATCGAGCAAGGCAACTCATAACATTAACCATGGGGCATGAACACTGCTAATGAACGCATAGTACAACACTGGTTTGAAAAGTTTCGATCAGGAGATATGAGCCTCAAAGATAAAGACCATAAAGACCATCCTTCCATCTGTGATGACAACTGTCTGAAAGCCTCAGTTGAAAGCCTCAGCGAGAAATTGCGGAAGAGCTTGGTGCAAGCATTGCAACCATTTCCCAACATCTAGACACAATTGGCAAGGTGAAGAAGCTTGACAAGTGGGTGCCCCATGAATTGAATGAAAAACAACAAAATCTTCAACTGGAGGTCTGCACTTTGCTGATCATAAGAAACAAGAACAATCCATTTCTCGACAGACTCATTATGTGTGACGAAAAATGGATTCTCTACAACAACTGCAAATGATCAGCACAGTGGCTCGACAGAGATGAAGTACCAAAACACATGCCAAAGCCCAGTCTCCATCCGAAGAAGGTCATGGTCACTGTCTGGTGGGCTACAACTGGTGTCATCCACTATAACTTCCTAAAACCTGGGGAAACCATCACGGCAGAAAGGTACTACTGTGAATTGGACTTTGTCCACCAGAAGCTGTCCCAACTACAGCCGGCATTGGTGAATTGAAAAGGCCCAATCCTTCTCCATGACAATGCTCATCCTCATGTTTCACAAGTCACTCTCCAGAAACTGAACCAGTTGGAGTACGAAGCCCTCCCTCACCCACCCTTTTCACTGGACCTTTCCCCCACAGACTACCACTATTTCAAACATTTCAACAGTTTCCTCCTGAAGAAATCATTCTCCAACCAAGCAGTGATTAAAACTGCCTTCAAGCAGTTCATTTGCTCCAGAAAGCAAGATTTTTTCAAAATGGTATGAATGCACTTGTAACTCAGCAGAAATGTGTTGATTGTAATGGAACTTATTTTGATTGAAAAACTTTACTTTCAGCAAAGATAGGAAGTCTCAATTCGCAGTTAAAAAACCGAAAGAACTTTTGTACCAACCTATGTTTCAAAGTCATGGGAGTATAAGAACAGTCCACTTTCACAGTATCCACTTGATGAGATGGATCTGAAGAATGACACTAAAGATAAGAAATATTCTTGGTCTTCCCTCCTTCTCCTTTCCCACTTTCCATCTCTGTTCCAATGTTTTTTTTCCCCCTTCCCTTCTTTCTTATAGTCAGTCCCAGGATTCCCAGAATTTGATCATGACAGAAATTGCAAGCCCATGTGAGTCACGCTGCCTCCTCCTTCCTCCCCTTTCCCCGCCCAGACAGACTGTATTGTACTGTACTTGCCTCAATTCACTTTTCCCTTTAAAATCATTTGCCAATACATCACAATGGTCGAAAAAACAATCAATACCTCCAACCATCAATAGTGGTATTGATGCATTGATCTATCATGACAGCCCTAAAAAAAAAACCTGGCTGGAAAGCATAGATGCACAAAAATAACTTCATATTGAAAGGGTTGTTAGCAATTTTGCCATGCAAGGGAAGGGAAATAAGCTAACTTGGAAGAGAGTTACCAGATGGAGAGATTGCCAAGAAAAAATAGACTACCACTAAAGGAGGCTGGCTCATCAGGAAGGGGAGCCACTACCTTCTAGAGTAAAAGCTGAACACTGTTCCCCCATTCCATTGCAAGTGACTTGCAATTACAAAGAGAAGACAGTATTTGCCATATTAACCCTTTCATTATGGAAGGCTGCAGTGTCCTGCCCAACACCATGCACAGTTTCTCTTTCTGAAGCAAAAAGGTTAATTTTTCCCCGAAGAATAGGGCAAAAAGGGGTCTCCCTTAGATCCTTATCCTTTAATTAATAAAAACAAACATAAAACTAAGAATCTACATAATCAATTACATATTAAGTTATAAATATTAGTGAATTTTACAAATAAATTCATGAAAATTAATTTTACTTAGCCTGAAGAGTCCAACCTCAAGTAGGTTAATTCCTCGCTCAACCGAGCAAACTCAATGGTTTCCTACTGGGATTTTGATTTCAAGAAAAGGCAAGAAATGAGTGGTTATATTTAATACCTCATATAATTTATACTTACCTTCCTCCTCATCTTTCTTGTCTCTCTTCATGGAATTCATTGTTTTCTCTGATTGGTTATAATGCAGACCAAATGATGTAGGCTACTCAATACATCCAAACTCCAATGAATAGGACCTTAAAACCTGAAAAGAACCCACAATTAGAAACAGCAGTTTGACAATCAGAGTCAGTAGAACTTTATAAACAAGCAAAGTGACTTAAAAAGAAGTTTCCCACCAGATTAAAGCAATGTGATGCAAATTAATTCATATGCTTTTATCCCAGGGAATTTTCTGATGCCTTGCAACAAGACCTTTTACTCATGTAAATCCATAGTCTTTTTATTTCTTGTTTAATTTATGTTTTCATTCTTTCTTCTTTGGCCCATTGCATAAGACATTGCTTAGTGTGAAGGGTCTTGTTACCACTCATATCTTATTGCTCTCTGTTGCTAGCAGCTTGCAATTTCATAGTGCCATTGATTGAATGTGCCATTGTGAACATGCACATATCCTTAATTTTGTGTGTAACTACCAAACAAGAAACTTCATTTTGTGTTCACCAATCTCCTGCTGGCACACAATTTGAAAAGCTGTAGGGTAAAGTAGGTCCACTGCTCTGGATAATAAGGAATTGCACAAATTCTAGGTGCATACACAAGACAAGAAAAGTTTTTTTCTGCCATCCATGGGCAACACTTTCATCAGCAAGTGTGACAAACCATCCAGAAATGTTCAAAGATAAATTGCAAGAACACATGCCCTTTTATAATAACATAGGATACCAAATGGTTATGTCACACCAATAGGTCAATAAAGGACCAAATGAATACAGGAAGACTTATCACATGATATTTCACTTATGACAGGGTATTTGTTTCATGTGTAGACTGAGAAAGAAGTTGTTTGTCCTAGTCCCCATCCTACAACTGATATATATGATCCTTCACACATACAGTGGTGAGTGGGGTCATTTATAGATGCCAAATTCGCTGTAGGACTTGGAACTACAAGTCAACTATGAGAGCTTCAAGCCATTGTAGGAGAACTTGCATTTCCACATAAGGAGACCTAATTAAGTTTTGGCCTATGACTATGAGGGACATGTGCCATATCTGTTTAACTTTAAACTGATCAAATTTCAACATGGGCAACTATAGGAATATGATTATGTCCATCAAACTGATTCCCACAGAAGACTATTATGAAATCAGATTAGTTCCACATGTACAAGAAAGTTGCACAAAAATGGCCATTTTGAGGAAGTAGATACCCTGGATTTGGAATGAGATTTGACATTCAGATTCCCTTTGGAAAGTTATTGAATGCATACAAATATGTTTGAAATTGTAGTCTTGGAGGCAGAGCTATGACTTAGGAAATTTCTGCCCCAGGCCAAAACTCTGAGAATTCATTCATATGCTAAATATTAACTAAAAGAACAGAACTGGAAAAAATTTGGTAAACCAACTCTAAAGATTCAAAAGACTCCTCTGAAAAAAGGTTCTGTCAAGATATAGTGCTCTATCAAGGTCACAAGACCACTCAAAATTGCTTCAGAAGTGTAAATTATGCAAATTTTAGGTCTCTATAGCTTCTTGCTATAAAGCAATAACTAAATGTTCCAGTACCATATGAAAGCAGAGACATTGCTCTCTCCAAGTATGTTAGAATAATTCCATTATCTTTCTAGACATTTTGAAGACTTCAGTTTGAAGGTGGTCACTTTGCACTATGTTCCATGTGAATACAGATGAAATGAAAATAAATGAGAGGCCTCGACTTGACACAATGAAGAGCAAGTAATTGTGGGTAATCAAGGGTCTTGGTGCAGGGTGATTGAGTTAAGGGTGATTCAAAAGCTTATTACCACAGTACTTCAACATTTCTTGGGGAAAGAATCATTCACCAATATGAAAACCAATTATACCATTAAAAAGAGTGCATTTTTATCTTTTGGTCATGTGGTTTCCATTCCTGATATGTTCAAATCTAGAATTGCAAAATTCAGACATGAGTTGCTGTTTCAAGTAGACTGTGCCATACAACTTAATCAAAATTAATGCATTTGTACTTGGAAGCTGAATTTCCTGGTTAATGGATAGATCAATGTGACTCTCAAGGTCACTTAACTTGACACCCTGGGCATCTTTCTTTGAAGAATGCTTAACCCCTCAGCATCATATATTTTCATAGAAAATTGGCTATTTTTCATGTCTTCAATACATTATCTTATTCTGAAGAAAAATGAAATAAAAGTAATAATTATTTGTTACACAATGCAAGCCAAACCAAATGTGCTTATTAAACATAAAATTTAAAATAAATTTTTAATTGAAGAAGGTGCCATGACAATTTTAATACAATTAATTTAATACAATACAATTTCAATGACAAGAAGTTTCGCACAGGAGAAAACCAAAAAAATCAAGGACTTGAAGAAAGTCATTAATGCACCAATCCCAAAGTCATTTCAGAAGGTGTGCTGTTCATACAGATGCCAACAGATGCCAGTTGTACATAGCTCAGGAATAAAAATCACATGGTGAGAATAGGTCCTACTGGAGAAAAGGTCCTTTTCTTAATAGTGAAATAGATTTCAACATGGGATATGCTCTTCTCTCCCTGTTAATGAATAAATATAGTGGTAACTAACTTTATAAATCATGCACTTGTACATATTACAAAACCTTATTTTCTTCTTGAATAGTAGAACCATTAGACAAAAAAGAAAAACAGACTTCATTTCAGAAGTACCTGACTCACAAACCTAACCTCAATATCATGTATGAATACTGCCAGCTTGGATGGTGCCTTGAAGATAAGTTGCACAATCCTTAATAGACTTAGGCCTGAATGCTGAAATCTCCTTTAATTAATGATCACATAAAGATATATAGACTCCTACAGGGAAAAAAAAGCTCTTTACCTCTTTACCCTTTACCTTAAAGGCCCCTTTACTTCTCCTATATGAAGTTCATGAATTCAGGCCTTATTCCAATTATACTTGAGCAAGTTCTCCATAAGATGTAGAACCTGAATTACAGGATGGGCTGAGTAAGGTATTCTGCATCTCTAGCATCAATGGAAAGGGTCAAAGCAAATGCAATCAACATAACTTTCTTTTTCAAAGTCTCATAAAAGCATTCATGCCACCCCAATATATAGCAGAGGGCAAAGAAAATTGCCATTAAAACACAGGAACTTTCCAGAAGTATATCTCCTGAAGTTTTGAGAGTGATTGTTCCAGAACTTTCTAGGAGGTCAAGGAGGGGCTATAAATAGCAGTGAGGATGACAAATATGGAAAAGTGTCGTTAAGTCTGCTGAAAATGGCACATGATTTGAGTGCTAACCATTTGTCAATGAACCAATCAGTCACCCTATATTATTGGAATCTGGGCTATCATTATGCTGCAAAAATTGCCTGTCGAACAAAGATCCCCATCTGTACTGCTCAGTATTAGTCTATGCCAGGGGTGTCAATCTATGGCACTGGCCATTATCTGGGTGCATGAACAATTTAAGCATCATGAACAATTTAAGCATCAGAACAGAGAGGAGGCTGAGGATTCATGGCACCCTGCACATGGACTTCAGTTGATAGTCCCAATGCTTTATCAAGCATTACCAATAGTCAAGAGGTGGCATGGCATATAATTTTTTTTTTTCCTTCTGCTATCATCATTTTGGCATGAATGATCGCAACAAACCAACAGTGGCAATTATTCATCATTAACCTTGTGTACAATTCAACTTTGTAACACCCTTAGGTCTATCATAGGCCTAAGAGAGCACCTACCATGGGTCTATGTGTTTACCAACCATGAGGCATTATGAATCCCACATGGAAATTCTATATATGACAGGATGTATGATTCCATATGGCCATGTATGATCATATATTTGCAATATACCACCATATACGTATTCATATATTATCAATTGTAAGGTATATAATATACAGGGTGACCCAAAAGTCTGGACACATAGGTAATATTACTAATACTCTGTTTCATCAATGAATGTGCTAAGATCGACGGAAATACGGAGTTACTGCATTGTGTTCATGTGAATCTCGCAAAGCGCATCTAACTTTGCATCGCTAATGATGGGCGTCATGTTGAAAATGTTATTGAATAAAATTACTACATTTTCGCCTGTGTCCAGACTTTTGGGTCACCCTGTATATTATCTGTATTACAATATCAAAAGTTATGGGCTAATGGAATCATGTCTGACATGTGGTGAATATCCACAGGCAAATCTTATGGTTGTTAGTGAAAGTAGCATGAGGTCAGTGGGCCAGGGGGGTAGGGCAGCCGAGGGGGAGGAGTCCTCAAACCCCACCCAAGTGATATTGGGGGAGAAAAATCATACCTCCAAGGGGGTACCAAGCTCCATCCCAGGGGATATCAGGGGGGGGGGGGGAAGCAGGTGGCATCTGCACTCCCTGCTGCCACTGCATGAGGTTTTTACATGAAGGCCATGGCCTTCTGATGCCTCTGCAAGTAAAACTTATTTACCCATTACATTGTACATAAAAATTAGCTATGTATAACCTTTAAAGTAACTTCCCAAAATATTAATTTTAAACCCCTAACCTCCCTAGATAGCAAAAGTGTATCAAGGATGAAAAAAATGGGGGGGGGGCCATGGGAACTCTAGGGCAGCAGTGCACAAACTTTTCAGTTCCCTTTTTTCATCCATGTATTCAATTGCATCCCTCTATTCCCCTCCCTCCCCTCTCCACTGGTTCCATTTCATTAGAAACTGACTGAAATTTCAAGGAAGTTGGCATGAGAAAGGAAATAACAAATATATGTACCCTTTTAGGATGTGGGTATTTGTCAGGCATCCTCACCATACATAGACATGTTTAACTTCATATGTGGACAAGACGTGCCATGGCATATATGGTACAATTGTAGGAGCCAATATGCGAAAATAAATGGGGCTATATATTTTCATTCTTATATGATTTTATGTGACTTGTGTCAAACCCCATATATGTTCATATAGGAATTGCACCATGTGTTCATATATGCCCCATATATGTTATACTGGCTAAATATATGACCATTTCTTATATGGTCTCATATGAAATTTTCACATGGGATACCAAATCATCCTTCTTTCTCTGCCATGTTTCCTATCACTGA